TGCCTTCCAAATGCTAAACTCCTCTGTAATTCCTTTAATCTTTATTTTCTCAGTTTATTCCCTCATTGGTGGATCTTTAAGTTAATAGAATACAGGGGCAGGTCAAGAGAGATCTGCTTCCAGCTCAGCGTGATCTGGCTTTATGATCTGGGGACACAGAGGAATCAGTGATCTGGAGGCAAAAAGCTCTTTGCTCCTACTTAAACCTTTCTCTTTTGATCACTTCAAGAGCCTTTGGAATTGCAAGACATTTTCTCCCTCTCCCCCACATCCCCCTCCTGCTTAGCAGGCAACCACCTCACTTCTCCTTTGAGTTTCCCAGCAGCCTGAGCACAAAGGAATTATTTCATCTGCACAGCACAGAGATTCCTCCTGCCCCGGGGGGCATTTGTGCCACTGTGGAAAAGCTTTCCTTGGGCCCTCTTTGGAAAACCTTGTGAGGACTGGGAGCTTTGCCTCATTTCCCAGGGACTCAGCAGCTGAACCTCAATAAGAACCAAGTGGTTCCTTTACCTCCAGCTGGTAACAAGAGCTCCTCTCTGAGTTTGGGGGATGCAGCAAAGGAGGAGTGGGTGTGGAAGTGCTTAGGGCACGGTTCTGGGAAGTCACCCCCAAAAATGCCCCATGGCAAGGGGGTACAGAGAACGGGGTACCTGCAGGTCAGAGGGGAAGCTGTGAGTCAAAAAAGCTGCAATGTTATAGGAAGAGTAAGGTATTAGACATCAAAGCATCAGATTTACTATCTCAGGGATCTAAAAAAAAAATAGCAAATTCTCATTGCAACTGTGGCACCATCTTTTTGGAGGAATTTTGTAGGAAGTCCTCTCACTAAGTCTCAAGTAATGGGTTACAAAGCAGAGTGGGACAGAGGTTTTGTGAGCTGTGGGACAGCCAGAGGCTGTTTTTAAGGCTGCTGGGAGAGGCTGTGCCCAGAGTGAAGCTGGTTGCTCTGGCCAGAGCTGCCTGCAAACAGACTGGCCCCCAGCTCATTAAGTGTAATTACTTAATAACTTAATTACTGTCATTCACAGCCCAATTTCTGCCCGGGGTGACCACTGGCAGTGCTGCCCTAGAAATGAGGGACAGATTATTTTACTCGGAAAACTGGAGTGGTCTTAACTTTTCCCTCTCTCTACATTTATTTCGGGGATGTCAGTGACAGTGTCCATATCCCTCCATGAATTACTACAGCTGGATCTTCTCACAGCTGTTTGCTTCAGGCTTTTTGTCCTTTCTGTTTCACAGGGGTGCAGGTCATGACTGGCAGCACTTCCATGGTCAGGTCAGATCCCTCAGCTTGTGAAGGCTGAGAGTGGCAGAAGAAAGACTCGGGTTTGTGTTACATTGAAAGTTGTGCTGAAGGAGGTGATGAAACACAGGGAGAATTGCACACAAATACATGGGAGGATTTAACCTAAATAGCAAACTGGCCTCTGGAAATAGGTGAAGTTTAGGACCTGGAGGAATCAACCTCGGGGGAAAGACAGGCTCCTTTTCCATCGAGACTGCGATTTTAGCTAGAGGTTTGGATTGCTGCACTACAGAAAGAAATTATTTTATCTCCTCAATTCAGGATTAATCAATTATTTGAGTTCTTAAAACCCCCAGAAGCAAACCTAAATCCCTCTCTGTATTTCTTCTGTAGTCAGTATTTTCAAGTGGTACTAATTCATTTGCATTTCTCTGTGCTTTAAAACTAATTTCCCCCGTGTTCTACTCTATTTTTATCTGTTCAATATTAACCCAGCTAAGATGATTTCAAAGTCTGTAGACTCAGGTGTGAGAGTAAACAACTTCACATTTTCAGCACTGCTTACAAAGTCAGTTATTATTGGAGAGCAACTTCAATTCTGAGATGTTGATTCCACCCCCCTTGTCTCTTTTAGCAGACAATTCCCTCAAGTATTATTTCCTGTTCTTGAGCAAGAAGCTGAATTTCTGCCCTGTTTCTGTTTCAGAGCCATCCCCTGCCAGCACCTCGCCCCTCTGACCTGCAGAGCCTCCCCAGCTGAAGATTTTCTCCTGGGAACTGTGTAAGTACCAAAAATCAAAGTAAGTCGTTCGTGATAACCAAGAGGTTTCTAGGAAAGGTGCCTGAGTTGATTCTGAATGGTTCATCCTTCAGGACACCCTGACTGTTACATCTCAGGTCTTTGCTGGTACCTCTAAGGGGAAGCACACATTTCTGACCCTGTTGTAGCTCTGTGGAGAGGGAAGATTTATTCCAAGGCTTGATCCCAGGAGTCTGTACTTGGTTGAGCTTCCAAAATCAGTGAAGACAATGTCCAAAACCTCACTTTGTTTACCTTCATGTTTAATACTTAAAATGGGGGTTGAAGAGTGCTCTAGTGCAGCCTGTCAAACCTGCCAGCCCTGTGCCAACACCGCCAGCTCCACCAACACTCCCATTTTGCAGGAGAATTTGAAGTCAGTGGCAGAATTTTAAAATGCCATAAACACCACCCGACTGGAGCCTCCAGCACACTCTTTGCACCAGGAGCAGTGTTTTACAAGCTGTTGTGTGATATAACCTGAATGACAGAAATAAACTTTCTGTGCAGCTCCTCTGGGCCTTTGGATGTGCCACTTTGCAGTGGAGGTGTGATTTAGCCAGGACCACCAGCAGCACAGCCCATCCCTGCACCTGTAGCATTTTTAAGGTTTTTTCCTTCAAAATAGGCCCAGGAACAATAACCCCCCTTAGTTATTTGAACAGGGAAGAGAGGGGGGATGTACCTTTTAGATGACTGGCTTTGCATCAAGTGCAATATGGAGAAATGGAAAAAAATGCTTGTTTTAAAAATGCATGTGGAAAAGCTCAAGATGGAGAACCCACTGCAAAGTCTGTAAAGGGAAAAAAGCGCCAAGCTTATGGTGAAAGTAAAGCTGCATGGCTGTAACCATGGAGACCAAAGCTCTTCTGATGCAGAAATAAATGAACACAACCTTTTCATATTTATTAGTGGGACTGATGATGAAAGATAAAGTCAAATTAAAATATAAAGCAATCGAGACAAGAGCGAGTGGCTGCCTCTGCCCCTGCAATGCAGGTTCTTGTAATGGATCATCACAAATGAGCTGGGGTTACAGAGAGGCAAGTCAGTTACAAAAGGAACAAAATAGTGGTTATACCAACCTGCTTATGCAAATATCAGCTTCTTTATTAAAAAACTGGAGAGACAAAGCACATGACATATTCCTGAAATCTTTTGGTTTTGACTAAAATGGAAATTAATTTGTTTTCCTACCACAGCTGTGTGTGAAATGTGTTCTACACAATGGAAAACTTTCCTGTAACTGTACTAGTGAGTATTTGAAACCTGCTAATTTCTTAGTGGCAAGAATGACAGAATTTTCCTACAAAAATACTGGGTGAATATTCAGGTTTGCCATGAAAATACGTGTCAAAGGTTCAAGAATTGCCTGGTGAGTTGCTGTTAGGGAGCTGTCACTGCGGGCAGAGGGACAGCAGCAGCAGATGGCACTGGAGCTGATTTCAGTGAGGGTCAGAGCTCCTGCAATGAGCCTTCACTGCACAGCCCCGATTGCAGAAATGCTCTGATTGAGCAGCAGCCCCAGAGCAGGGAAGGATGCAGGCACGGCCTGCAGGCAGTGAACTGCGCAGGCAGCTCAGCACCGCAGCAGCTCAGTGCAGCAGCTCAGCACCGCAGCAGCTCAGTGCAGGCAGCTCAGCACCGCAGCTCTGCCTGACACAGCTGCAGCCACAGCAGCGGCCCCAGCTGTGCAGCCCCGAGCATGCACCTCCCTCGGGCCGGGGCTGAACCCGGTCCTGGCAGCCGAGTCCTGCCGCTCCCTGCCCCGGGAGCTCCGGGCCCGGGGCCGGGACCAGCTCCAGCAGCCCCGGGACCCGCCAGGACTGCAGAGGGGCTGGAAACGCGGTAACTTCCAGCCCATCCACTTCATGGTACCACATCCTAAATTACACACAGCGGGTTAAGGTGCTTCCAGTTTTACTGAGCTATTTTCTTCCCCTTTCTGACTTCCTCAAAAGTGTGGTTAGCCTCAAATCTGGAGAGGAATCCGTGAACAGCCTCAAAGCCGGATTTGAAGAGTAACTGGTTTGAAATACTAGAAAGTTTATGCCAAGACTTAAAATAACCACCCTCCATCCTTCTTGAGATCCTGGTAAGAGAATGGTTGTGTACAAGACCTTTAATTTAATAATGGTATAAAATGGTATTTCCTGGAATTTTATGGCAAATGAAACACTCCTAATAAGTTCATGTTTCAGTCTTACTCTTCACTGACTACACCCCAGAGTTCAGAACACTGAAATCTTATTTTTAACTACAGAGTTTGCTATATCAAGATTACCTTAGCAGGTACTGAGACAAATGTGATGCACATTGATAAGAGGATACCAAATTGCTTGTGTCATTGCTGAACAGATAAAGGCTGCTCCACTTCCCCACTGCACTGAGGAAGAAGTTTTTTTCTCATCACAGCAGGGTCCCCTCAGTGAATCCCCTCCTCAGGTCCTGCCCCGCAGGCCTGGCCTGGCCAAACCAAGCACAGCTTTGCACAAACTCCATTTCAGTTTCTCTGTGTTCAGTTTACTTTACCTTCCAGGCTGGCCCAGGTTCTTGCTCCTCCCTGTGGGAAGGGTCAGCACTCCAAAGCTCTGCCCTCCTGGCCCAGCGCTCTGCACACTCCGGGGAGGATTTCCCAGGCGAAATCAAATCTCCGCTCCTCGAGGAATTCACAGACCTCCTTTCCCCGGGACACAGAGCAAGCAAACCAGTACAAAGCTATTTATAACTGCGTTCTACAGCACTGAACAGGAACAACACATTGCAGCCCAAGTTACTCTGCAGATTCCCAATAACCTTGAAGGAGATAAGTATTCAGTTAGTACTAAACAGAGAGGCCCCAGCAGGGCTGGGGAACACTTGGAAAAACAGAGGCAAAAAAGGAGGAATGAATATTGAGGTGGGATTTACCAACCAGGCATGGAACACTTACATGTAATAAAGCAAATATTTACATTAAGCACAATACAGCAATTTATTTAGATGCTTAAATGAAGAATACAAAGGGAAATAAAGATCACAAAATTATACATACTACAACAGTGTGTAATATATTAGATGGTATAAATGAATACAACACCTTGTTGGTGTTAACTAAAGATAAAACTAAATATCCAAACCCAGCACTTTGTCTCAGTGTGCTGCTTCAACACAATACACTTTTATACAGATCTAAAAGGTGTCAAAATTAGTAGCTGCAAACTTGTTTCTTGCACGTGATTTTTCTTTTTTAGCTTAAAAGATTTCAGAAAATGGCTCTGAAATATGTTTGTCATCAGTTGTCATGTCAAGGATATTCAGAACAAGAAAATTCTATAATACAACAGAGCCCAGATATATTCTTATGTTGCTGGCCTCTGGTTGGAGATTGTACAAGGTTATGTGCAAAAACTAAATCTGTCAAAACTCATACTAGAGCAGTCTCAAGCTTTGCTAGGGAAACTAGATACAGCATTTATTACACAGCAGGGCAACACTAAAAAAAGAGAAACAGATCTATGATGGGTACACAAGAACAGTTCCATAAGCTTCACTTAATAGGTCTAAAAGACTGTACAAATATACATTTCAACTATTCAGAATGATACATGAAAACTCCATTTCCCCAGAGTCTGCTATACAGGGCACCGGGTCGCTGGCACGGCGCTACTGGAGAGGGGCCTCTTGGAAAGACACAACTCAACATGGACAAGGTGAAAGGAGGGTTGGAAATGCAGATGAAATAATCCTCTGCTTTTCTCTGTGTGCATTCTGGAGCCACCAGCGTATCCATTTTCACATTAAGTTACTGTGCTCATCCCAGCAGGAACTCCCAGCCCCGTGGGCCAGCAGGTCTGTACACGGCCCCAGGCAGCAGCACCCGGCCGTGCCCCGGGGCAGGAGCGGCTGGCAGGGGAGCAGAGCCCCGGGCAGAGCCAGGCCCCCGGGGCAGTGCCAGGCCCCCGGGGCAGTGCCAGGCTCCTGGGGCAGTGCCAGGGCTGTCAGGGCAGTGCCAGGCCCCTGGGGCAGAGCCGCTCACGCCTGCTGGCTGCTGAGCTCCACCCCGGGCAGGCTGCCGTGCATGGGCTCAGCCCCCACGGCCCCGAAGCCCTCGCCGTCCTCGCTGTCCATTGTGCTGCTCTGCCACTCCATCTGCTCGCTGGCCAGGCTCTCCTCCAGCTCGGAGGTGTTTTTCCATTGCGACTGGTCCTTGGACCAAAACCCTTCTACTTTTCCATAGGAACGATTCTTCCACTTTGACTGTTCTTCATCGCTTTCAGATCCACCCCCCTTGGCCTCCACAGTGGGTTTACTGCTCCCGGCATCTTCGCTTTGGGAAGATTCATCTGTCCACACTTCTGGTTTTACCTCCAAGGCATTATCTTCAAAATCTGAAACCTGCTGGGAGCCAGGCCCGCTTTCAGACTGGGAAGCTCCATCTTTCCATTCCACTGCATCATCCTGGTCATCCTGATCACCTTCACTATCTGAAACATCACCTACCAGTTTTGTTGGCTCTTCAGCAGCAATCATCTCTTCGTATTTAGAGCTTTCCTCTTGTTTTTGCTCAGCCTTCTCTGGAGGCTGTAACGTGTTTTCCTCCACGATTTCCTTGGCTAAGCCGTCCTGGGGGTTCTGCACTGCACCGTCGGACGAGGCCTTCCCAGCCACATCAGAGACGCGCTGGCCAAAGGGACTGCGGCTCTCGCTGTATTCCTCCTCTAGGTTTTCGTAGCTGTCTGAGGAACTGTCATTGTCTTTTTCTAAGTTGATTTTTTTATCAACAGTCTTACTGGCATTGACTCTGGAATTCTTCTCATCGTGGTTTTCAAACAGCCATTCAGCATCAAAATCCATCTCGTGTTTGACTTTGTTCAGCTCTTTCATGTTGAAGCCCAGCAGCACCCCGGGTTTGTATTTTTCACAATCCCTAACACATTTCTTCCTTTTGTTGCTGAAGTGAGATGCGATGTCAGATTTCCAGAGCCACAGACTGGCCGCCAGCTTCTCAATCTCTCTCCGAGTGGGGTAGGGCTGCTTATTGAAATATTTTGTAAGAAACGTTTTCCTGGCTTCGTATGAATCATCTTCATGACCCTTGGGGTCCAGTGCTAGAACTACAGGCTCTTCAGGCTTCTCCTCAAAGGCAGAGGGGGAGTCATCGTCGTCCATCTTCCTCTTCTTCATCAGAGGGAACTCCATGTGTTCGTAGGCGCGTTTCACTGGCGCGGCCGCCGGGGACTGGCCCAGCCGGGACGATGTCCCCTTGTCCTGCCCGTTCTGGGTCTTGCCCACGCCCCTGCAGTGCACCAGGTGCAGCGTTATGGTGGAGGCCGTCATGTTGCTCGTGTACACGCCCAGGCAGTGGATGCACTTGTAGGTCAGCTTCTTCTCCACGGGGTGAACCGTCTGGATCACCTGGTGCCTCTCCCGGAGGTGATGTGCCAGCGCATCAGAGATGGGGCCTTTCAGAATCGAAAAGCACAGAGGACACAGAGTTTTCCCCACGTCTTTTTTGTAGGGCACCGCTGCTTGTGGAGAACTTTTGATGGGTACGTCAGATTTCTCCTGGATTTTGGGCTGCGGTTTTGGCGGGACAGGGGGAGTGTTCTGAGCATGGTAAGCTACGGATTCGGCAGGAGCATCCCGCAGGTTGTAGGTGGTGACAAGGAGGTGTATGTTCGTGTGGCTGCCCTGCTGTAATGTCAAATCAAAGGTCAGGGTGGAGTCAGTTTTAGGTCCCATCTCCTCGTCCACGTGCACCATGCGCATGTGGGCAGCCATTTTCTCCACGTCGTTGAAGGTGGAGCGGCAGTAGGGGCAGGAGAGCCCGTGGATCAGCATGTGATTGAGCAGCGTGTCCGTGGGCAGGTAGCGGTTACAGTAGAGACATTTGCTCGTGAAGTTATGGATTTTCATGATGTAGTTGGCTACCGCAGGCACCTTCTCGGCCTTGTGCTCCTTCTCAAAGTGGACACTGTACACATTTTCGGGGAACAGCTCGTTGCAGATGGTACAGATTTTCCACTTCTGCGTGGACGAGGTGTTGATAGCGGAAGGACCTGTAGCAGCCACGGGGGATTTGGAGCCAGACTGACCCAGAGCTCTGGATGCTGCCTGGGACTGCGACAGCGACGTCTGTTTGAGCTGCGCCGAGGACAGCGAGGAGGAGTTGGCAGACTGCAGCGAGTACCTGGCTGAGGCCTGGGACCTCTGCTCCCCTCCCAGAGTGTAAGGCCTTCCATTGCCACTCGCTGAAAACTGTTTCATGCTTTGTGATTGTTGGGAAAGAGAAACAGGTGTGTTGCCACTGAGGCTGAGCCTCCCCCCTGGCTGACCAACGTAACTGGGGGGGACTGATTTAACCCCGTAATTGTTCTGCTGGAGGTGAACATTTGACATCATGTTGACTCCTGCAGAATTTAACGTGGGCTTTGGTATAGTGAGTCTGTTCATCATCTGCTGTGATGAGAGCGAGCGGACACTGCCAGCAGAGAGGGCGCCCATCCTCTGAGGGAGTCCCATAGGCTTTTTATCCTGGGGTTTGGGAGCTATTAGCATCAAAGGTTTGGATCTCGGAACCACTACGTTGGTGTGACCTATCATCGCCGTGACCTGGTATCCGATCCGTTCGTGGTCTTCGATCACGTGTTGGACTAAAGCTTCGTAGGATTTCGGCATGAAAAGGCATCGTTTGCAGTGGATACCCCCCTCCTCTCGGGCGCCGGAGCTCAACGGAACCGCACCATTGAGGGACTTTTCGCCTCCCTTGGCTACGTAAGGAGCAGCAACGTGCTGAAAATGTTCCCTGTAAATGTGCTTTCGAACGATTTCGTAGAGCGGGTCACGGTAAGTGCACTTCTTACAGTAATAAACAGCTTGTTCCACACTGTCAGCCTGCTTGGGTTTAAGGCTCTCGTGTTTGTTTTTATCTTTGAAAGTGCTGATGCCTCCACTCGGTGTACTGGCATTGGGAGCATGGAATATTTTAATGTGCGTTTCCAAAGTCTTTTTGTCCGCGTTGAAGGTACAGTAGGGGCAGTTGAGCAGGATCCTGTTCTCAAAGTCTTCGCTGTGAACATTCCGGAAGTGGCTTTTGTAGGCTGAAAAGAACTTCGAGGAGAAGGGACATGCACTGCAGCAAAAGGGCTTTGTCCGATAGTCCTTGAACAGAGAACAGAGCACAGACTAAATATTCAACTGCACTTAGCAAAGTAACACCCATGATAGTCTCTACACAACTTTTCTAAACAACACTCATGAGCCCCCTGCAACTGTCTCAAACCTTCAATTCACTTCTCTCCCATTTCTGGCTGCAGATAAGCCCCTAAAAAGCTGATCACATGAACATACACATGATGTGGTGAATGCCAAGGGGTCCCTCAAGGGTTTAACCATGACCAGGTGAGGCTGAGTCAGAAGTGTCTTTCCCTGTTGGTCACAAAAACCTCCTCCCTGAAGCTGAGCTGCAAGAAAAGGTCCCTGTGTGCTCCTTTCTGGAGGGAAGCCAAGCAGGACTGTTTGAGGAAATGAGACTGTACCCCCACTTGAATCTGCCAAACTTGATAGATGTAATATGGATCTATAACTTCAGCTATTTCAGTGGCTTTATGCATTATGCACTTTAATAGCAAAGATGGAATTCCAAACATTTTTTTGGTGAACAGAAGGATGCAAGCTTACCAAGACACAGGCTATACAAACCCTTAAAGCCACCAAGCCTCTTCCTTGTGATCAAAGCACAAACTTGATTTTTAAACCAATCTCAAATGAGGAACCAAAAATGTGGGAATTCCACCCTTGCAGTTTGCCTGCAGCTTTTGACCCATTTAACGTGGTGCCAATGCAGCTCTTATCAACTGCTGTAGCACAGTCTGAAGTGCCACTGGCCTTAGGGACAGCCACAAGCAGCCTGGCACTTCAGGTGGGGTAACATAAGGAGTCCAGAGTTAGAGAGATTCCTCCTGAGTGTCAGAACAAATCCTGTGCACAGAGCTACACACAGGTCACAGGTGAGGGAGCTGGAGAGCTGCACTCTCCCTCTGGAGAAGGAAGCTGAAATATCTGCTCTGGCCACCTGCTGAAGCCTCACACACCTGTGGAGATTGGCCCCAACAAACCAAGCAAGAGCTGTCTCCTTTTATATTACAATTTTTATTCTGAGTTACCTAGAAAAAGGGACATCAGTGCATTTTATGCAAGACAGTACTAAATGGTAATTTTCAGATTCACAGTAGGAAGCCATGAGAGGATGGATCCCAGTTTCCTCTGAGAGCAGTACCTGAGCTCTGAGGCGCTCACACAGTGATTCCTTTGCAGAGAGGTTTCTGACCTGTCACTGCTGTGGTGACTCTGTCCTGCAGCCCCAGCAGAGGCTGCTGCAGCCCACACCACTTGCTTGAACCAACAGCATCGTTTCCTCCCTCCAGTGCTGGCTCAACTCAAAATTCCTTAATTACTGGCTCAGAAACATCACAACAGCAGGACTTCCAGGGTCACTGAACTGCTGTGCAGAACTAGAAATGCCCAAAGCAGATGTGGGACACAGCCTGTGGGACCCAGAACTGCACTGACAGTGGCTCTGCACCATGCAGCAGAGTGAAAACAGCTTTGGAAGGGATGGAAACCAGCAATAAAACATTCAAGGAAAGGTAAAAGACTAATTGCCAGTTGTATAAAGTTGTTGATCCTTTGGTTAGAGGGCTGGTGAAATTGTGCTAGGATTGGGAACAGGTGGGAATGGGCTCCTAACGTGCAGCTGTTTGACCTGAGCAAGGACCCATCAGCCCTGCAGCACTGGCCACCCAGGCTCCTGAGACACACACCAGGAACAACTTAACAAAACTAAAACAAAAAGCACATAGCTTTTTGCTGCCCCTTGAGCTGCCAACACCTGAAAATCAGTGAGGAAAAGTGAAGGAAAGGCTCTTGGCATGTCTGGGAAGTGCCCTTCAGCACGACCCATCTCCAGCCTCAGTGTCAACTGAAACTCTTACCAACCTGGTTCTTTGTAAGCGATGGGTCCCACAGTCCCACATCCTCCCATGTAGTGTTTTTCAAATAAAAGTCATTAGGTTCAAACTGCTTAAAATCCTGGAGAAGGGAAGATGGGAAGAGAGGACAGAGAGTCAGAAGCAAGGCCCAAGGGCTCCCTTAAGCAATCCCTGAGCACCCCTGCCACCTCCCAGGTGCTGCTGGCCAAGGCAGAGATCATCACTCAGGGCAGGGAGGGAGCTTGGAGGCACCTCCTGCAAGGGGGAGAGCCCTGAATATTCTCCATATCACAAAACACCTGCAGAACATCTTCAGCACCCATCCTCCTCACCAGCCCAACACTGTAGTTACAAACTCATCTCATTCCAAAAGCAATCCTGGAGAAAAGTGTTTCCAAACTGATGTGTGGGTTTGGGGTTTTTTGGCTGCTTTTTCTGGGAGTGGTAGTGTGGTATTTATTTTGTTTGATTGGCTTTGTTTGGATTTTAATTAATTTAACACAGGAAGCTTTTAAAGTTGGACATGTGTGATGTCCAAGACACCTAATTCTTATTTTAAAATTTATCTTATAAAGCATTTCTTTGGCATTTAACGTTTGGCATGAAGTCAGCAGCACATAAGGACTCAAAAATAACACTTCCACTGAAATGAATAATGCAAGTAACATTGTCCCAGTTCAGAATTCTCCCCTTAAACATGTGAGCTGCTCCACAAATTCTGCAAGAAGGAAGGACTGGCATTTTTTTCTTACACATCTCATTTAAATGCTCTCTAAAGAGACACTGAAAGACCAGGCAAAGCCTCAGCGATGGAGTTTGTCCAGAAGAGCAGCACAAACACCCTTCCCTGGCAGGAACTGACCCAGGCACAGAGGTGATTCTGTAACTCCAGGACCTGCTGCAGCACAGACACTTCCTGAAAACCTCAGACCCATTTCTGCCCCAACATCTCACCCTAGTCCTGGTTCTTCCAGCATTCCTGGATTTCAGTAGCCACAAATGTTTCTAGAAGTGTTTACAGGTACATTATATCTCAAGTTTCTAATTAACTCCTACTTTGTGTGGATCTTATCACGGCATCCACAAATACCTCCCTGTCCCCCTAACTCCGCAGCATTTCAGCTCTAACTCTTGGAGGTGCCATACTTACTTCTATATGTTCTTTACAGTACTCCAAACCAATGTCACTAAGTATTTTTTTCACAGTTTTCCGGGCCTTTCTTAAACTGCCAAGGTTGTTGACAGGAAGTTGGAACATAGTTTCTATTGGAAAAGAAGAGTAAGAGAAAAGGTTTAAGTCAAATGTGTTTTGTCTAATAATGCTGCACTTTTAATTCAGTAATTGTCTGTCTCGTGACCCCACAGAACTGGTACCAGAGCTGTAGCATTCCCTAACACACTGTTACATCATTGCTGAGGCTGCAGAGGGCACTTCTGAAAGGGCAACAGACTGATGAACAGCTATTGCAGGAGCAATGGGCTGCCTCTGGAAAGAACTTTCATTTCTTTGGAGTGTCTGTCTTTACCAAACCCTACACTGAAGTACCTCAGAACTCAGTTCTCTCCTGTGCAATGTATCCTAACTGATCTGAAAACTGGCAAGCTGAGCTTCAAGGTTTGTGCCAGTCTTGCAAGAGATTTCAGTGTCTCTTCAGTGATAAAGACGCTTCTATTCTGCTGTAGGTAGGGTAAGAAATTAATGCTGTTTCCTCCCTCCACTGTACTCAGAGCTTTAACTGGCTGAAGCTGTTCAGCAAACATTCTCCTAGGAAGAGGAAGTCTCCAAATACTGCTTGATATCTAAAAGCTAATTTCAAAATGCCACTGAACTTCAGCAAAGGCATCAAATGCTTTCTCTTGATTTCTGTGTCTAATACAGCTAAACATGCCACAGGTACAGAAACTCAAAGAGAGCAAACTATTTACAGCTGCCTGAAAACAACATCTCTGGTCTACCTGCAGCATCTTCTTGCCTCTGTCCTTTGCCTGCCTCAGTCAAATTTTAAAGACATGAAATTCCCTGGATCATAACAGAGGACAGAGTTAGACCTTCACACCTGAATCCTGAACTTTTAAATGTCAACTTTGCAAGTTCTGCTGGACAGCTGAATCCAACTCACCTAGCTGTAACAAAACCCCTCATCCTCAGGCATACACAGTTCATTTTATTTAGGCAATGTCTGACTGTTTAATCTTAGTGAGCAGAGAGCCAGATACAGTCTGATATTACAGGCTGTGACTCCAACAAAGGCTTTTAGCATCTCCATCCATTTCTGTTTACAGCAAGTAACTCCAGTTGTAATGTAAACATCACTCTGCTGCCACCTCCTTGGATGGGAGCTGGGATTAATCAGCCCCTCAAATCATCATCTAGGTATTGTTGCTCCCCTGGAAATGAGGAATACTTCATCTGACCAAAAGCTGATGCTTAAGGGAAGACACCTGGAGCATCTCTGACCACATCAATCTACACTGGAGTGCTGGGTGGAATGCATAAATGACTGCTTAAAACCACCTTGACTAGAAATATCTATGTAGGATCTTCAGGTGCCTCAGAAGACATATCTCAAAGCTCTCCCTCACATCTAGTGTGTGTGTACACAAACTGTCTGGCTGCACCAGTCACCAGGGGATGGCAAAGGAAGCACAGTGACCATGAGCAGTATCTGTGCAGTTCCCAGCATAGAAGTCTTGCCTACAGACAGTATTGACTCCTAGAACAATTCAGTAGCCAAATGGAAGCAGAAAGACAAGCTATCAAAGAGCAGAAGTAACTTACAAGCACCACCACACTCTGAGATCTCATTTCCCATGTAAAACAGTGAATGTTTTCTTCTCTACATCCCTGTGCAGTGCACAGAGCCTTCCCTCTGATCTCAGCCCCAGCACTGCACTCTGACCCCACAGAAGGTGTGCCCTCAGAGACAGAGGGAGAAACACCAAACTGTCACAGCAGTCAAATCATCAGAGGGGATAAAGGACAGAAAGCCTGCGCCTGTTTCTACACTTCAGAAGCTGCTTCTCTTTTAGTGTAACTGAATTCTTAATTCTCCAGTGGGTCTTTTGTACTTTGGCCCTGGTCAGCAGCCCCCTCTGCTGCCCAGGTAAGAGGTGCTGGCTGTTCCTGCTCTGATCCGGGAAATGGAGGATCTCCCCACGTGCACTTCGCAGCAGCCACAGGGATCATGGCTGCTGTGACTCTGGGAAAGGTGCACCAGCTTCACACCAACCCAGCCTTTCTCTCTCTGCTGAAATCTTCAACCAATATTCCAGATGTGCCCCACCGTGTTCCTTTCATGCCTGGACATTATTCAGGATGCTCCCTGTGCTTGGTTGATGTCTCAGCTTTGGTACAGAAGAACCAAGCACAATGGATTTCTACCATCACAGGCTGCAGAGCAAAACAATGGTCTTCAGCCAGAAATAAAGACTTAAAAGAAATCATCTGGAGGAAGATGCTGCTGTGTAAAGGAACCATGACAGCACCACTCTAGTTTTCTAGCAAATCTAGTCTAGGTTTTATTCTATCTATACTTAACTGGAAATGCCACCATGTCCTGCCCATGGCCAGGAAAGCCTCCCACAAGCAGCAGGTACAGAACGTGGGGGACCCTGAGCACTGCACTGAGCAGGAGTCTGCCAACAGTAGGGCCTGGGGACAGCAGCACTGCGAAATGGCAAGAGAAAACCAATTATGGAATCCCCAAAAGCTGTAAACACAACACCCAGTGCCCGGTGCCTTTTCTCTTGTTCAGGCACCCCAGACCTGTATGAGTTGGCCAAGGCTCTTCACAGAGGCCACTCCAGCTACCCCTCCTGCACTAAGGTAATTTCTTCATAGGATCACCATGGACTGGCCTGGGTGGGAAAGGACATTAAAGCTCACTCAGTTCCACCCCTGCCATGGGCAGGGACACCTTCCACTATCCCAGGTTGCTCCAAGCCCAGTCCAATCCAGCCCTGGACACTTCCAGGGATGGGGCAGCCACAGCTGCTCTGGGATACCTGTCAGGGGCTCATAGGGAACAATTTCTTCTTAATGTCTTCTAATTTCTTCTTTTTATATCTTGAGATGAATGTTTCTTAATAGCCTTCTGTGAAATTTACACTTCCATTCAACTTTCACTAAATAAGTGACCTCAGAGTAAAACTGCAGTTGCGATTACAACCCTCTTGGACACGATTAAAAAGAATGAAATATAGCATCAGTTTTACCTTCTCTTATGAGCACATGAGGTTGACCCTTCCCTTCCTAATGTTCTCATTGATTCCTGTTATGAAACCTGAGAAAACCTGAACTTTTGGGTGATCTGACGATCAGAATTACCAACTACCCTGTTGAACAAAGCATTAGGTGTGAACAAGCGTGCAAAGCAGACATTTGTGTAAGCAAGGTGCAAACCCAGCCTGCTCTGCCCCATCGTGACTCAGCTCAATCTTGTCTTACTAAAATAATCAGCAGTGTAAGAACTCTAGATCATTAAAGCAGATTGTTAATCAACTTTGAACTAAAAGGTGTTCAAAATAACAACTATTTGCTGTTATTTCTGTGCATGCTTATAAAAGACAACAGCTCTTACTCTCTGTTCTCCCCTCTCCCCCTCATCATTCTCTGCTGCTTCACAAGGTCCATCCTTTCCGTGCTCTTTCCCCCTCTCCTCCTTTCTTTGCTGGTTCTTGGCCTTCTTGGTCCTTACCTCGCTCATTTTCCCTCTTCTCCTCTTCCCTGTGCCAATTCATAGCGTCCACATTCTTTCGTCGTTCTCTCTCATCCTGTCTCCATCGCTTCTTGATATCTTTGTCCTTAACTTGCTCATTTTCTCTCCTCTTCTCATCATCCCTGTGCCATTTTATTGTTTCTGTGTTTTTCTGCGGCTCCACGCTTCTCTTGAGATAGTCTTGTCGCCTCCTCCTCTTTTTTAACATATCCCTTTCCCTGGCACGAGCCTGCTTTTCTTTCTGGGAAAGAAAAGCTTTACGGGGCATCATGAGCTGCTGCTGTACCTGCAATAACATCGCATCCATGGGATAATGCACTCTGTACATGCACTCAGTCAGGCACACCACCTCATCTGGAGCTCCACACCTCACTCACTCAGTAAGGCAGTGCCCTGCTCCTCCTCTTCCCTCCTGAGCCCGGGCTGGGTCAGGCCAGGCTGGGTCAGGCCAGGCTGGCCACTCCAGGGCCACCTCGCAGCAGCTGTGACCCCTGGAGCCCCAGCTGAGCAGTGGCACTTCTGTCCCCTCCCTGCAGCTCCTCCTCCCCCAGAGCCTCTGGCAGCCCTTGGCTTTGCTGCTCCCGCTGAGGAACAGGCTGTGGGTGGACAGAGGTGTGAAGGGAACTTGGGGACCTTCAAACCAGTCCCCTCTCTTCCTGGAGATATACATTTAATCCAACTTAAAGGTGTAATTTTTCTTTCCAGACCTCCATCTCCACCCAGTTTGGGTGAAAATGGCTCTCTTGGCTGAAAGGAGACAAGCCACAATCTTGGATTAGGAGACAAGCCACAATCTGAAAAATTGTGTAAGCTTTGTTTCCTGGGGAAACCTGGCCAAAACATTTAACTGCAGTTAATGAAATAAGTCCTGACTCATCTACCCAGACTTCCTACAAGTGTGTTGTGTCTTGCTATTCACAGGAACAAAGGGAAAAAAATGAGACTATTTACTTGGAGGCTCTGCTGACAGCATTCCTGAGGGGTGGGGATTCTTGGGGTTGGTGTTTTGAGGCTTGGGTCTTTTCGTTTCTAAAGAGGTGTCAGTGGAGACTACATTAACAAATTGTTTTTACTTTTGGTCATTTCTCTGTAGTCACCCAACACATTCACATTTTCAAATGTGGAAGTGTTACTACCTGCAATTTTGAAATCATGGAAGAATTTATACCATTATTGATAACCTTCAAATATTTTTCTGTACACAATAAGCAATGTTTCAGAAATGGAAACTGCAGTTGAAGGCCAGGTTTGAGTTTTTTGGTTGGGTTTTTGTTAAGTTTTGAAGAAAGATTTGCAGAGGTCTAGTTAAAATGAAAACTGCAGAAAGGACAAAATTACTAGATTACAATACTTAAGAAAAGCCTAAAACAAAATGAAACAAATGTACTTTTAAAATTTAGCTACCTTATGGAAAGCACTTGTTCCCAGCATGCAATACTCCATCTTTTTCCTACAGAAAAAGCAATGTTTCAAACCCTTATTCTAAAAGCTGTTCCTTTCCCCTACAATACACCCCACCCCACACACTTTAACCCTCTATTCTGGTCTATTGCCTTTGTTAGGTCTGCATCATGATCCCATGGCTTTCATTCCAATAATTCAACCCCAAATTTCTTAATATCCATAATAATGCTAAAAGTGAAGGGCTGCAGCAGAGTCAAACACCGTAATAATAATAAAAAAAATTAATGCAGTGTGGTAACACGTTAGTACATAAAATTCAGATTATGCTAAAAATTACTTCATTAAAAGGGTAGTTCTCTACCAGACAGCCTGGGTTTGGGTATTAAATATTTCTCAGCAATAGTTGGCATTAAAATCAAAAAGCAACGGGAAGCCAGGATCAGCACCCTCAGTGCAACCCAGACACTGCAAATCTGTACCATAGTTTCAGTGCTCTGTGGGCTGCGTGCCAGGACATTACTGCTGTTTACTAGAGCAAACTTAGCTCATTAACTTTGTAAATGTACATTATCATTACAATTTTATCAGTAACCTGGTTCAATTTCAATAACAATAACATGAAACACATCATGCAAATGATTTTCCCTCCCCCACCCAAGGCAAGTACCAAGATTTCAATCTGTCTTTGTTATATTTTCTTTCATTTGTTTCTGTTTGGTTTGTTGTTGGGGGCTTTTCCCCCTTTGGTTTTATCTTTTCACAGGATTCTCCCCTCCCTTCATACAGCCCACTTTGATTGATCAGTTTATAGACAAATGATAGAAAATACCACAATAAAGAGCATTTAAGATGAATTTTCAAAATTAAATATTTCATGTGAGATTCAAGTAAGTCACGTCATATTCCAAGGGACATATTAAAGGGACATCCAACTTAAATTGCAGATCTCTGAACTTCCCTATCCCAGGTCAGAGTTTCCCCGTTTGTTTAGCATTCCAGAATTATCTCTCTTGCAGTCTAAACCAGCTTTCACTTTCACCTCTGATGGTTTTAAACCGACAGAAGAGGGACCAATTAATCTGCAGTGAAGCTGCTGGACTGACTGAACCCAAAGTCCCCCAACCTCTCAATTTTTCTAGAGCCCAAGTTGGTGTTCCTTTAAGTTCAAAATGTCCAAACCTCAGAAGTGAACGGTCAAAACTATCCTTTTTGTGCCCATGCTTTGCCAAATGAAAATCTTTACTCCTCCCCATCTCTGCAGTACTTCTGATGAGGCATTTACCTCCAAAATGAATGGTGCTTGGGCGTCTCAGACTCATTGGACAAGTTTCAAGCACAAGCCTCCAAAGCCAACTCTCCTTGCAGAACGCCCCTCAGGGCTCTGTTACACCCCCTGGGGGAGCCCAAAGCCCGGACACAGAGGAAGGCTCATAACCTGCTGGACAAAACAGAGAGCAGAGACAAGAGATAAGACATGTGATAAGGGCAGTGTCACGCTGACAGGTACAAACCGCAGGGGCTGCAGGGCCAGCTGTGCTGCAGCACGCCTGAGCAGCTTTGTGCTCCAGCAACCGATTCTGCTGGGGGACTGTGCAGCGCTCGGATTTCAGCTCAGGTACCCAGCTCAGAAAGGCAGCAGTGCAGAGGCTGGGAACGTGCTCCTCACACTGCATCCCCCTCTGCAGTGCCTGCCTCACCCCCATGAGCACCTCACCTGAGCGAGCAGCAGCACAGCTGCACCTGGGCACCTCAGGGACACTGCACCATCCTGGGACACTTCCTTGGAGCTCCCACACAAACAGGTCCCACCTTACATGACAACATACGGTGCCTTCAGCCACAACCCTGGGGACACACATTCCTCTGGGAAGCACTGGATTCAAACTGGCAGAGGATGGGGAGTTTGGGGGAATGGCATGTAAATGATCACACTTTGCTGGAAGTGATCCCTCTTCAACTGACATCACCCACGGATAGAAAGTCAGTCTTGCACATACTGGAAACACAACAGGTAACATTAGAACCATAAAATCTGAAACTACCAAATCTAAAGTTTCTAAAAGCAAAACTTGTTGAGTCATTAATAATTCCTCTGACAGGGAATAAGGCAGTATAAATTGTTAGATTTTAATCTCTTGATTACCCAGACAGAATAGCCTGAAGTACAGAGTACTTTTCTTTGGCAAGTACACTTCCAAGACAAGACACTACAACATTTTAAGAAATTAAGAAAGACAACATTATTATTAAAATACTTCACATGGCAGCAAACCTGAATACTGGAATATTGCATGTGCTTTATTTAACAAGAGCATCACCCATACCCTCAGTCACACAAGGATGATGGGTTTTTCATTTCACACCGCATCACTGTCTGACCAGAAGGCAGACTTTGTGTCCCCGTGTGTCTAGCAAGTCCAAATGAACTCTCTCCCAGGGAGTCCTCCCTGCAGCAAACACACTTCTGGGTGAGGACCCATCAGCCTCGAGAGCACATCAGTGGCAATTACTGCATCAGCCTGATGATACTGAGCTCAGGGAAGTACTTCAGCCCATGCTGGGTCTCCCAAACACTGAGGATCATTTCCCTGTGCTGTGCTGCTGACAAGGATCCCCAAGCATCTGGCACACTTCTTATCTTATGGCATCCAAACTCCTTTGACTTTAGCCAGTATTTTGCCAGTATTTCAAGCTGAAGAAGTTACTGGTTTGTACCTAACAGCCCAAGACAGAATCATACATAAGAGCTGGCAGCAGCTCCGTGTTCCTGGGCAAGACGAAACAAGACTTGGTTTCTTGATACCATGTGTTTTATTTACCTACTCAAACTGCTTTTGAAACAAGGAAACTTCTAACAATTTGCCCAGCAAACTGCCTTTCATAGCATGCGCTAAAAGCCAGCCATGAAACAGATTTGCAGAGAAGGCTGGTAGTGCAACACTGAGTGAAATCTCTTGAAATACAGGGGAAATACGCAAGAAAATGAACCTGTGGTTCCCACAGCAACAGAAAAGCTGCCTCTCTGTATATGCAGGTTAAATGATGCTCTGTGGTGTGATGGTGTAGAATATTCTATATTCAGATGAGGACAGTGATGGCCTGTCCCTGGGACCTAACAATTCCTGGACAGCTGAGCAAGGAACTGTGATAGACAGGAGCACAAGGGTTATCTCAGGGAAGAGCGAGCAAGTGGAATAGAAGTATCAGAAAAAAGGAATAGAAGTATCAGAGAGAAGAGAGAATCTGGGAGAACAGAAACTACTGAGAGCTTCCTTGAAAGTAAGAGTTGCAATTAACTCTCTCTGCTCCCTGTACAGAGAGTGATTAAGAGTCTTTCCCAACATACCTCTCACCGGCTGACACTGAGCATTTTCACTTTCTTCCCTGGGACACTTCCCTTTCCTCCTTATTTTAGCATTTCTGGCCTAGTTTTGTGAGGGTTGTGCACCCACACTCCTGTGCAGGTAATGAGATTTGCAGTTCAGCAGCACATCTGAAATGCCGGACAACTGAGGGCTCCTTTTGCAACCCGCTGTAATCCCGGAGGGAGCCTGTTCTGTAACAGGGACATTTCCAGCTGAGAGCAGCTCCTCAGCCCGGGCCACCTGCAGCAGGAGGCTCCTGCCCAGGAGCAGGGTGGGCCTCCAGCTGCTCACAGCTCAGCTCCAGCCCGGATTTGGGGTGCAGAGCCAGCACCTGCTCTGAGTGTGCACCCAAAACAGGACTGGGCACATGAAAGAGGAATCAACGCAAACCCTCTGAAAAGCCCAGCTTTAAAGCGGAGGTTATGGAACTGATGGAAATCCCCAGCTGCAAGCTGCTGCCTGGACAAAGCAGTGTAAGAGCTGAGCCACACTGTGCACAGGACACACTCCAGCTCTCCCTCACAGGCAAACAGGCAGTTTGTTAACAGCCCCTTGGTCAAAAAGCCAAGGATTTAAAAATACTAAAATCCACTTCAGAGATTAGATCAGCAACTTCCAAAGCCAGTCTCAAGTTGTGTGTCAAAACAAAAAGGGCCATATCACACCATTTTTCAGGGCATCTTACACAAACATGGCCTCAGGAGAGAAGTCCATCTAAAATGTGTACTAAAGGAAACCTCACCTTATCCTTGGGAGGAAATTCTGAGACTAAAAACACTTAACATCCTGTTTCAGTGGTTACAGGCAATTTTCAGCAAAGGTTTATGAAACTCTGGTTTGTACCTTTTGTTTGGGCTTGCTGCCTAGCCTCAGCTTGACTCTTGCATTAAGAACTCCCAACTTCCCATCCAAGGAAGAACTACGGAAGGCAGTTGTAGTGAAAAGAATCAGTAAGGCTGATACACCTCAGGATCCATTCATTCTTTATTTAAAGGCTAAAAAACCACTCTCTGCAGTCCTGCAGACAGGGATCTCCTAAGTCATTCACACACTTCTCATTCTTGCTCAATTTCTGGAATTTTCCACTGGAGCCCCAAGCTCCATCTGGTGGGTGTGGACACTCACTGCAAAACTGAGCAGGAATTAACTGTTTCCTCATCGACTTCGGTTCAGCAGGAGGAGTCCTGGGCACCGTGGCATCTCTATGCCCCAGTCTGAAATACAAAATGGTCAAATTTTCACTGCTCTGGGAACCACAAGTCCTTACTTCTGTTCTGATGAACAATCTGCTTCCCTAGGCTCTGTTGGGACCTGCTGGTTGATTTTCTGATTTTGATGATGTAGGCTGAGGTATGTTAAAGAATGCTGGCAACTGTAGTTGAATGTTTTCTAAGGGATCTTTTCAACACACATGATAAAGGCCACATCAACTCTGGCAACCTCTGTTGCGTTCTGAAAAGCACTTTGAAATTGTGTTCATTCTCTAGGACACAAGAAATCCTGAATCAGAGACACTCACAGCTCCAGAATTAGGCTTGCACACCTCCTGCCATCTTAGAGAATATCTTTTGTGACTGTTCAAGACCTCCACAGATAAATGTTTATATGCACACAACATGGGCAGTAAATCAATATTCAATACACATCCTCAGTGTGAGAGCCAGGCTTGTTCAGGGCCATTTCTAAAAGATTTTGGTGTGAAATGCAATAAAGCCTGCACATCTTGCAGAAATTTGAAATCCAGACTGGAGATCATTGAAGCACAAAGGATATTATTTGCTTACACCATGATATCCACACTTCAGTGATCAGGAAAAACGGCTGCATGAATATGCTCTACAATTCCAAAATAATCCTTGTCTAGATTGTAGCTAAGCATGAACAATCCCAGAATAAAAATAATTTTGGAAATAGAAGCATGATTAATGAATGTGCCGTTACCATTTAAATTAAATCAAGAATTGTCTTAAAATTTTCAATCCAAAGCTCACAAAAACATTTGTGTAATTAAACAAAGTAGCACAGTAGTTGCTGTAAAATGTGCAAGAACAAAGCAAATAATCAATACACACGTAATTTATGATTGGATTACACTGACTGAGAAACTGCAGCCAGATTAGACTGCAAGTGAAAATGGTCCCCTGCCCTCTGTGTCATGTTCCCTGGTATCAGCACTGTGTCAACAGCCAGAGCAGAGCTCTGATGCAGCCAGAGGAGTGGTTTGGGGCAGAGCAGCTCCTTCCCTCACCCAAACAGCGGTGCTGGGCCCCGGCCAAGCCCTGGGGCAGCAGGAAACAGCTCCAGCCCTGCCCTGGCAGCTCCCACACACACAGAGACAGACACAGACACACACTCACACACACAGACACACACACACAAAGGCACAGACACACTCACACACTCAGGTACTCACACCCGGAGCGCAGAGCAGCCCCGCTGTGCCCTCAGCACACAAACCAGCACACAAAGAGCACAGCAATACTTTCCCCAGCCCATCCAAAGCCCCGCCAATCCACGCTGTCTCAGACAGCAGATCCATCAGATACTGGAGGGATCTCGCCAACTGGCTGCATCTGAGTTTTCCGAGGGTAAAAATAGGCACTGAAGGAGGCTGGAGCCGCTTGTTTTCCCTTGCCTTACACTTCACACACGCGAGGCACAAACGCTGCCATTCCAACACGGGGAAAGGCTGTAAACAAGAGCTTCAGACCAGTCTCACACTGCACATTTCTTACCTGTCCCTTTCTGTCTAAGCTCCCAAGGGCGCCAATCCCTGCCTACATTGCAGTGTTAGTCCACCTCAGCTGCTGCTGTCCTCCATCTGCCTCAGGAACCTTTGACAAGCAAAGGGCTTCATAGCAACAGCAGCAGCAATGGGGAAACAAAACAAAAAAAGATCACAAACTTGAGTTTGACTCTTCAGGTGAAAAAAGCATTTTAAGACCACTCTCTTGCCTACTCAGACTTCCAGAGCCATTTTGTCCCCTCACTGTTGCTGCTATGAAGCTGCACCACCAACAGCTTCCGGGGCCCAGCTGCAGTATGAGCACAAGCTGAGAGATCCAGAGTCCCATCAGGAATCAGTGCACACAGAGGGAGAACAGCGTGGAAGAAAGCATCGGCTGAGAGCTGGGAGAGGAGCTGGGGCAGGGAAGAAACAGCCAAAAGTGAAGGCAGGCCTGAGAGCAGGCCCTTTCCCCACCTGCAGGACTGGAGGAGTTGGAGTGCTCCCTCAGGGAACAGCTGCTCATGCAGTTGCTTTATTTTTGTTTCTTGTAAATTGTTTTAGATCTACTTGAGAAGTAGATATTAAATGAAAGATTTTTGCCACGTGATCTGCATACATCTGCAGGTGTGATGTGTCCACAAGGTCAACTACACAGGCCTTGGACTCAACAGCCACTCTCAGTTTTCATCTAAATCATCTCTAATGCCACCTTAAAAATTAAAAAAACAGTAAGGATATAAATGGCGGTAACTGAAAGTGACTAACCGCAGAAAAAATGGTATTTACTCCATTCTTACTCCAAACCATCAACCCTCATTCACACTCAAGAGCACTACAGAGAATCAGAGACACTAACTACAAGCTCCTGTTTGCCTTCTGACACCAGAGCTGCAGTGAAGCTCTGAACAATGCAGTTCTTGCCTTGAGGCACATGGACTTTAGGTAGATAAACAGGAGTCACACCTCTGGAAGAAGCCTTTATTCAAATCTGGAACACCCATCTGAATTTCAACCCAGACTTAAGTTCTTCCTGAAAGCTCAAAAGGAACAGGCCAATTTGGCCATCTTGCCTAGGAGAGCAAGGGCATTCTTCTCAAATATGTCAGGTGAGGCAAAATAAACCTCTCACATACAATAAAGGTACAATATTTATTTTTATTAAAACTAAATTAACATCAATAAGGGTTCTTTTTTTTCCAATGCAGAGACTCAGAGCAGCACCTTTCATTGTCATCCCATCTCTTACACTATCAAGAAACATCACTAGCAACAGCTTTATTTATATGAGCAGAACTATCTCCACATTAAAAATTATCCTGTTACAATTATGTTCATAGGAACCATACCTTACATATATATATATATATATATATATATATATATATATATATATATATATATATCTGGGCACAGAGCAGCTCTTGACTCAATATAACCAAAAAAAAATCGTGTGATGCTTGTTTAGATACAGGCCAGCATAGTCAGCTGTTGCCTTTTTAAACCAGCATGGTGCATGCATCTTAAAGAAAATAATCCCACTAAACGTAGCATTATTAATATACAAACTCAGCTGCACTAATGACTTTTAAAAATTTGTCCATTTTACCCGTGCAGGTAGAGCAGCTCCAACGGCACCTGTGAAACAACACACTGGGCAGCTCAGCCCCAGAGCTGTTCCCTGCCTCTCCTGGCACCGCTCCTACAGTCTTTAAACTGGTCCTCCTCAGGTCTGATACTGCTTCGGTCATTCCCAGCACAATTTTGTTTCCCTTAGACATCTCAAGTAGTGGAGCAAAGATGACTTTCCCTTTCTGGAGATAAAACCCCACAAAAAGCACCCAAACACATCTCCTATTAAGTTGCTAAATGTTATTTGCAGCTACCTTAAAACAAACACATTAACCCAGAAGCACCATCTTTTCTTCCATAAAATCACTTGTTTCAACCTCTTTCTTTGCATCAATCAAATCAGCTGCTGTCTTAATAACAAGCTATAAAATATACATTCAGACCATATCACTTATGACTACTGATAAGATCCTGGTATGTTTCCATATTCCAGGAATTCCACTGTAAATGTCAATGTTTACTTTCAGTGTTTATGTTATTACAGAGTGGCAAAGCTGAGCTGGGACTAATCAGCCATTATTCCCCTGCAGTGTGTGAGCAGCACAACCCACCTGCCCCAGAACCAGAAGACGTGTCCTGCATTTCCCTACAGCTCACGGTGCTCAGAGCAGCACAGGGATCTGGGCAGCACCACCAAGTGAGAGTAAAGTAAGAGTTAAGTGAGAGTTTACACTTAACCCACACGCTGTGTCAGGGACAGGGACCTCTGTGTCAGTGACAGGGAGCACTTCTGACCACAGGCACCTCCTGCCCTACACAGAAAATCCACCACGTTCCTCCTCTCAGCCTGAGGAGCACACACACCTTCCTGGGTGCTGTGTTTGTGCAGCTGGTGCTTGACACTGCAGGGCATGAACTTTCCAAGACAGTCAGGAGTTCCTCTTCAGTCTTCCTCTCCTGTGAAGGCTTTTCATTCCCAAGTGTGGCACTAGGTCTGTCTCACCTACAGGCAAAGGAGTCACCTTTCACCTTCTCCTGCACATCCAACAGCATCCACCTCCCACAGCCCAACACAAGTGAACCGCAGGTTCTTCATGACAATAAACCCTGAAGCATAAATAGTGGTAACCAAAAGAGATGCCTTCTACAAACCTGCCTGATGGACTTCAATTCAAAACAAAAAAAAAAAATTATTTTTAGTAATGGGGCACTAAAACAGTATCAGTTTTCAATGATCTCAGAGACATCCCCTGGGAGCATCTCATGTCTGCTGGATACCAAAAAGTCACTCTTGAATGCTAACTAAGAAATAATGCTAAGTTGAGCAAAGGGCAGCTAACCACCAAAAATAGTGCAAAAACGTCTACCTTGGTATCCATTTTGGAGAACAAGTTATTTGTTGTGTGTCAAAAAGGACATCTCTATTTAGACTGAAATTGGAAGTATTTGCTGTGACAGTCTTCAGAAAAGGTAACCATTATGTTACAAGCCATCAGCATCTGGTGCAATTCTCTTAACAACAGGATGTTTCTGGTCTGTTGTCTCTTTTAAGATTTCAGCACATATCATGGTAATGTCCATCTGCTGATATCAAATTACTGCCCAACATCTGCAACTGCACATCTGCAAAGGAATCAAGCTTTGGTTTGGTTTGTTATTAAAAGCAGGAAAAAAGGGCTTTTCTGTTTCTTAAGCAGACTGATCCATCTTTCTCACCTAGAGGGATGACAGCTTGTGATTATGAGTTCGCAGAGTCCTGAAGTGAAAGTTTTCCCGAGTAGGAGACCCTGCAGGAGGGAGCACTGCTGAGGCACACAAGGCTGAGCTGCACAGCAGCCAGCTAAGGTCGGTCCATGCTACACTGACAGGCGGGAATCCTCTGTCTCCGTTACCTCACACCTCCAAACAGAAACAGAAAATACCAGCAAAAATAAACAGAAACATAGCTACGGATTAACTTAAGAAAAAGGGGGGAATGCAAACCTGTTTGAGACCTACAAAACGGCCTTAACACACCCAACGGACAACGACCATCAACACCAGCCGGTACCCCCGCGGTGCCGGACAAAGCCCCTCGAGGCTCGCCGCACTCCGGGGGCTGCGGCCGCGCCCCGGGGCTGGAGCCACGTGCGCAGAGCGGGGCCGGCCCCGAGCCCGGCCCGGCCCCGGTGCCCCCGGTGCGCTCTCCTCCCCCCGCCGCGGCGGGCCCGGCGCGCAGGGCGCCCCCTGCCGGCTGCCGCGCGCAGCGCCCCGGCCGGTGCGCTCCGTGTCGGGGGGGCCGCGGCGTCACGCCCGCGGCCGCTGCCCGGGGACACCGGCGGTGCGCCGGCACCCCGGCACCGCGCACGCACTGACACTTGTTCGGAACCCCCGCCCGGGCCGCAGCCACCCGGGAAGGGGGTGCGTGGCACGGGGGTATCCGGCCGGTGCGGCCGCCAGGCTCCGAGTTTGGCGTTCCCCGCCTTTGTCTCACAAACGGGTGTCGGTAAGCGTAGCCCGGGGCACGGATGGGTGAGGTAACGGTGCTCCTGCCGCAGCTGCGGCTCGGGATGGCAGCGGCGGGTCCCGCCTTTTCCCGCGGGCAGGGACCCCTCGGCTGCTCCCATTCATCGCATCCCCAGCGCCGCTCCAGCACCAACTCCGCCGGCGGGGCCCGGTGCAGCTGCACCCCGGGATGCCGGACGCAGCCGGCGGCTCCCGGTCCCGCTCCCTCGGGCTGCCGGGACGCGTCCGTGCGGGGAAGGGAGGCGGTCGGGGCCGGCGGCGGGCAGGGAGCAGAGCCGCGGTGCCCGCACCGCCGGGGCTCCTCAGCGTGTGTGCGGGCGGGGAGGGGCCGCTGCCAGCTCCGCACGCCCGGTGCGGCGGGCAGGGCGGCGGGCACGGCGCGGGATGCCCGCGGGAGGGAGGGAAGGAGGGAGGGGGCGGTCGGGCGCTGTCCCCGCCCGGGTCGCACCGCGGACCCGCGCTCGCACCTACCTGAGCGGGCTCTCCTCGCAGCGAGGGCGGGCTGGGGCGGGGGGGGCGGGGGGGGGCGCCGGACCCTCCCCGGCGCCGCCCGGTCCCGGGGCGGGCGGGCGGAGCGGAGCCGCCGGCGGCGCGGGGGAGACAAAGGGGGAAATGACGGCGGAGGGGGTGCAGTGTGCGGGGCGGGCGGTGCGGAGCGGCCCCGGGGGCGGGGGCGGCGGTGACTGGGCCGGGTGGCCGGGGCGGGGGCGCGGGCGGGGGCAGCGCCCGGGCCCCTCAGACAATACAGCCGGGTCCCGCTGCCCACAGCCTGCCCGGGCCAAGATGGCGGCCGAGAAAGAGCGGAAGTGACGCCAGACCCTCATTAGCATACGGGACTCATTGTCCGGCGGGAGGGGAGGGGGCCGCGCCCCGGGGGGGGGGCGGGGGAGCCCCGGGGGTCCCCGCGGGACCGGCCCCGCCGCGCCCGCCGCACCGGGCGGGGACGCGACCCCGCCGCGGGGGGGCCCCGGCGGGGCGCGCCGGGCCGGCCGCGGCCATGGCGGCGGAGGAGGCGGCGGCAGCGGCGGGATCTACCCCGGCCCGCTAGGAGGCGCCGCGCCCTGCGCCTGGGTCCGGCGCGGGGATCCCTCCGCCGCGCCCCCGGCCGGGACTACATCCCGTCCTGAGGGGCCGCCGCCGCCGGCGGGGCGGGGGCGCGAGCGGGGCGGGGCGCGGAGCGCGGGGGCGCGCACGTGAGCGCGGGGCGGCCCCGGGAGCGCGCGCGGGCTCCTGAGGCGGCGGCGGGGCCAAAGGGCAGCGACCGGCCCGGCCCGGCCCCGGGGCAGCCCCGCACGGCACCGCACGGCACGGCCCGCCCCGCCACCCCGGCCTCGCGGCCGCCCGGCCCTGCCATGTCCATCCCTCCGAGGCTGCGAGGATGCTGAAGCGCCTGGAGCGTCTCCGTGCCCAGGAAAGGCTGAGGGAGCGGGGGGTGCCCAGCCTGGAGGGGAGCCCAGTGAGAGGGGCCTCAGCCCTGGCTGTCCCCGGTGTCCCCTGTGTCCCTGGTGTCCCAGGCTGTCCCTGTGTGCAGGAGGGCCCAGCAGTGGCACCAGAGCCAGGGCAGGGCCTGAGCCCAGCAATTCCCCTGCCCAGGAGGCAGAACTCCTGCCCTGGGCAGTGCCAGCCCTGAGCAGAGCCCACAGAGGCTCTGGGGTCTGATTGCAGAGCAGTCTGGGCACAGGCCTGTGCCACGGGGAAGGAGGCGTCGTGTGAGGCGATGGCCATGGGCAGCCTCGCTGGGACACCCTTTGGCAAAGTTGCCATGGGCTGGGACGGTGGTACTGATCAGGGAATTCTGTGAGGCGACACAGGAGCTGTGTGCTTTACACGCTCTGAAATCCAAATTCGTCACAGAACCACAGAATATGCTGAGCTGGAAGGCGCCCACCAGGACTGTTGAGTCCAGCTCCTGGTCCTGCACAGGACAACCCCAAGAATCCCTCCATGCCACTTCACACTTTGGGTTGACACCCTGAGAACGAGCCAGTGCCCAAAGGCGGGGCTGTGATCTTTCTGGTGAGCCCTGTGCACGTATGACGGTCACACACACCTGTGCAGAGCCACTGGACATCCCATTTTGCAGCAGGAACATTGGATCAGGACAAGAGGCCACATGTGAGTCCTCCTTGTGGATCATGATGCTGCTCAAGGTCTCTTTAACGAGGATGGAGTGACGGGGATGGATGGCTTTTGTTACTTCAGAAAGACACAAACACTTGGAGGAGGAAGTAAAGTGCAATTCCCTCCATCTTCGGTGTTCACACCCTTTCTGGTTCAGTGACACACTGGAGTTCAACCTCACAATGCTAGAAAGAAATTTGACTCCTTGCCTGAAGTGCAGAAGCAGAGAAAAGTTGTCACCAATTCTTTAGACTTCATGTAACTTAAGGATCTCCTGGATTTTCAGGTGACTGGTGTCCTGAATTCTGGGAGCAAGTGAAGCTATCGGAGTAAACTTGTGTCTTGCTGTATGTACTTATCAGAAGACAAGGTAAGATAAGGTTGGGATGGAAATAGAGGTGGGTAGTGAGTTCCCCCAGAGCAGCAATATCAAGGAGTTTCAGCTCCCAGCCATGATGTTGGTACTCAGTCCATGATTACAGTATGGAAAGCCATTTGTGAAGAGTTTAGAAACTGGAATTTGGCACTGGGGGGCATGAAATTAGACCCAGATAGAAAGGAGAGTGTCAGGAGGAGAAATACTCAGTGCACCAGAGGGGTGCTGCAGGCAGAGGATTTTAGGGCAGGGGAGGGAACAGGAGGGAAAGGAGATGTGGCAGCAGAAGCTGGAGCAGAAGGAGCCACTTCCTGCCTCGGGGTAAAATCTGCAGTGACAGGGCTGAGAAAATGGGGGGAAGGACGAGAGGGTGTGAAAGCAGTCCTGAGTGATGGACAAGAGCTTGTTCTCATTCAGCTCAGGAGGGTTCTTGTGGTGGTTTGCAGTGTGACAGCTGTCAACAGAGAGCTGGGGAAGAAAGATGAGAATTTACAAAGTTTGTGTGGAAATATTGATAGTAAAGCTAAAATTCAAGCAGTGCGGAAGAAGGAGAAAAGGAGTTTTGACATCATTTTTCTCCTGTGTGTACAGAGTGAACAAAATGAAACAGAAGTTGATGCTAATAGTCTTAATCTACTTTTTCTATTGCAGAAGTGGGTATTGTTTCTCACAATACAGCCACTGGAAAAATCAGTAAAATCACTGCATTGTAAGAGACGAAACACTTCACACCAGAGGGGAGGCAATTAGCACTCCCAAGCTGAATAGCTTTAATTGCACATGCGTTGTGCTGCTGCTTCAGGTCAAAACTGTGCCCAGATTCATCCTACTACTAGCTCAGTGTCATGCTTGGGTTTTATTCAAATACAAAATAATTAAGACAACTGGTGATGCTTTTACACACAACATAATTAATTATATAATAAATACAAGTAAGTTAATCAGCATTAGGACCACTGGTCTCACAATGATCTTTAAGACCCACTAAGCCACCCAGCTCCTGTGCTGATCAGACACCTGCCAGCACTGGTGCCAGTTTCTGTTGAACAGCCAGTGCCACCACCTTACAGGAATAACTTCCCATTTTATGCTGTCTGCTTTGTTGAAATCCCTCTCAATGGCCAGGTTTTCAGATCTAGTTTTGGATTAAACGGTGAAATTAATTTTTCTCTCTCTAGTTCCAATATATTTTCCCCTGAACAGTAACAACCAGTCCATAAGAAAGTTTTTAATTGCCACAATGCCTGGAGAGAGGGGTAAAACGTGGCAGGAGCAGAGGAGGAGATGATGCTCAAAGTTGCTGTGCTTGGCACTAGTTACTTTCTTTGCCCATGTCTCCTGCAGCATGGCACAGGGGAGGTAATAAACAAGTTCTAAAGCAAAGGAAGAGTTTGATGAGCAGTCCTGTCCCCTGCACACCCCCTGCTCCTGCTGCTCCTGGTATCAGCATTTGCCTGAGCTCTGGAATGCCAGCCACTGAAATGTGTGGCTGAAGTCATCCCTGCACTGAACTCAGCAGGCAATCTGTCACTGAATTCATTTCTGCCAAGATCTCAATCCAGGCTTGTACTGATAGACCCTCAAATAAATATTATTGATTAGTCATCATTATTTCTTACTGTTGATGTGCAGAAGGTTGTGGAGCCTTGCAGTTGGATTTCTGCACAGTCCACTGGAAAATCTGTTTGATTATAGTGTTTATGTTGGCAGCGAGGTTCGTCTTTATTGCAGGCTGAGGTTAAAGTCTCAGATTTTGTCAAAAACCCAAAGCAAAAGTGAAGCTGACTCCCCTGAACCTCAGAGCAGAAAAATCCTCACCAAAGAGAGCAGCTGGGGGCGTGGGGCTGACTCTGGATTCACACTCCAGAGCACAAATAAGCCAGGCTTTGGGGTCTGAGTGGTTCCAGCTTCAGCATCCTCTGGGTCAGAGGGACTGAACTGCTGGCCCTGGTGCCTGAGCCCCTAAATCTGCTCAGGGACAGGGAAGCCACGGTGCCAAACGTGAGTTACCTTCTCCCCTGCATGGAACATGCCCAGCTCCAGCCCTGCTCCGAACTGCTGGCAGCCAGGAAGCAATTACAGCTCCTGCTCCTGCCAGATGATTGAGTGCTCGCAGACACAGATTCCTGAGAAAGTATAATAGAGAAAATGCATTAGCAGAGTATTTGTGCCTTCATAGGAAATGAATATGGATGTAATTAAGAAAAGCTGATTTATGTGGAACTGTAAAGCCAAGGACATAAAATGAAAAATTCTCAGTAAATGTCAAGTCAGTGTTTTGTGGTGGCCAAAACAAGGCAAGGAGAGTATTGCAATGGTATTAAGGAACTGAAAATTAAAATGCCACTATATAAATCCCTAGTACATGAATATTTAAGACATTATATGGAGTTCCAAGCACCTGATCCCCAGAGATTATAGAAGTGCTGTTCCACTCTAGTCTGTTACTAACATTTTGAGAACAGCAAGATCACAAGCATTTTTCTAGCTAGGAAAAGCCAAGTGGTTTCCGTGGCGGGTGTGTGAAGTGTCTGTGTGTGTGTAGACCCCACTAAGGCAGGAAAGCCTGGATGTCCCTAATGCTGTGGTGCACACTGAGATCAGCTTTCTTCTTTCAGGCACTGTTGTGTCTGCTCATGTCCTGATGCCACGGAGCTCTTGGGTTTGTTCCTTTATAGCACATTTTCCCCTGATAAATCCATCACCTTTAAGCACAGTGAGAAATTTCACTATTTACCTAAAACCTGACTGTTGCCCTGTCACATTTCAAACTTCCACACACTGCAGCACACAAAATACTCCTGGATTATGACCCTGACTGATACGTGATATGTGAAAGCACCTTCCTCCAAACGTGAGCTCATCAATAAATGAAGGAATTTTACCAGGTAATTTTCATAATTAAAAAAGTAGCCATGAACCTTCTAAAAGCTGAAAGCTAATTCACAGCAGTCAGATGATGAATAATTCATACACTGGACTTCAGTTATATATCCCTACATAAAAATGAGGAAAAGATGAACTTCATGAGGCTTAATTTGCATTCCAGCAAATGATCCGCATTATGTAAATTAAAAAAAAAAATCTAAACCCTCATTATTTGGTCATTAAAAACTTTGTAACTATTTTTAACTTAAAAGAATGCTTTTTGCCATGAAACCTCCAAATGAGATGTAAATAGATAAAACCTATTTACTGCATATTTCACTGGCCCTTAAATCCAGAAATGTATTTCTGTATATATCATTGCTCTGATTAGTCTGCAGCAAATGAAATTGTATGTAATTTTCTGAAAAAGTACAGGCAAATGTCACAAAATGAGTTCAGTCACTGTGATCCAGTTACATGTGGATTCAAAACCTGCATCTTTTATTATTTTAAAGCAAATTCCATCTGTAGCTTTTGCTTTGACAGTCAGCAAAGGAGAAGCTATCAGAATCTGTACTACCCCACTAGAGAACACAGGACTAGCTCTAAAGCAGTCCACTAGAAAATAACCTTTAATGCAAGTTTTGTTGAATTATTTTTATCAATGTGTTGACTGTGAAATAGAAATTTATCATTTATCTAGACTTTCTAAATGTTTTTCTAACATTAACAACTGCATCTAGTGTGCTAATGGAATGCAGACTAACATTAGCAAAACAGGCAGCATTTGTAAGATATTTGTTGCTTCTCCTGTCGCACCATTAATCTTCTGATCCAGGTGTCCACGAATTCCACAGGTATCCACAAAAAAAGACCTATTTTTAATATGTATATATGAAGCCATTCTCGGAATAATCCTCCTTCTAAATGCAATTTGATTATAAGGGCTTCATGATTTCTCTGTTCGGGCTCTATCAGGCCATGAACAAAAACTTGCATTGCTCTGTTTGTACTTCCTTCCTCAGGATCTGGAGCAAATACAGTTTACTTTGCAAAGTGGTACTTGACATAAGGAAAAAACCTGCAGTATCTTCCCTGAGTGAATGGGGTCTTCTGTTCCCCAAACCTGGTGAGGTCCCATTTCACAGACTCTAGTATGTTTAGTTTCTAAAGGGACGGAAAGGGACTCATCTGCTTCTGGACAAACACACAGAATACAAAATTATTCCATACATATGGTTCCCTTTCCTATCCAAAGAATATTCCTTCTTCCCAGTCTAGGCACAAACCACTGAACTTTGATTTCTTCTTAAACTGCCCCAGCCATGAGCAGTTCTTTGGAGCTGCCTCTTGACAATGTGTACATGTGCTGAGCGAAAGAAAGGACACTAATTAGTATCTATTTAAATTAATATCTACAAACCACAAGACAAAGACAGGACACATTCCAGGGTTTTTTTATCCTTGCTTGTCTTTATTTCAAAATTATCCTTATGTTCTGCTGAATAATGATTCATTTCCAAATGCAAAAGATCATTTAGCTTTGTGTTCTTTATTAAGACAATTATTCTTACAAAAATAGAAAAGCATTAGCCTTTATTAATTTTTAGTTTAACATACAGTCCATTTCTGTCGGAAGGAGCATTCTGGGCTGCAGAATGTTTGATTTATTGTTGATGGTTGTTTAATTGTTAGGTCATAACAGGTCTTCTGGCCACCACATAAATTATCAAGATTTTGCCATTATGTTTAAATCTACACAGACATCAAAAAATGTTTGTCTAGCCAAATTACTTTAGGATGAACTCTCAGGTTGTAGCAAACAAGGTCAAGAGCCCCTTTAGGAAGGAGACAATTTCATTGCCTCCCAGTTTGGATTCTCCGTAGACACGGTCCACAAACGAGATGGGAACCTGTTGAAACAAGCAAAATTGGCTTTGAGGTTCAAAACTGAAACCATCAGAAATTCTGGGAACAAGAGAAGGGCCTTTGAGCTGGAGCTTGTTCAGGCATGGGGAGCAGGCAAGCACCAGGATCTCTCCTTTGTGGCAGCTCTCACCAGGGCCTTTAGTGTGCCCCATAGCTGGGGAGCATGGAATTACTGGGTTTATCACCTTTCAAGCTGATCCAAAGACATTACTCATGGCTGGATGATCCACCCAGGCAGAGCAAACCAGCAGCTCACAAAGCCTGCAGCATTTCCTTGTCAGCCAAACTCAAAACTGCCAGAGCCTTTGAGTCAGTGCCTCAGGAAGCACAAATCTGCCCCCAGCACAGAACAGCTCAACCTCACCCTGCCTGGGAGATGACTTTGGAACATGACAGTGCCTATGGTACAAGACCTGTTTTTATCAGCCACTGGCCATTTTATAGATTATTTGCAGCATTTACAGGCATTTAACACATTAATTTTGGTCTCTTTCACAATGTGACATTGTCCAGATGAACTCACTACTCATGAGATGTTGGGAAAGTTTTGCTTTCACTCCTCTGAGCACACACAAGGGACACGTGACAGGACATTCTGCCAACTCCGTGTCAGAATATTCAACCATTTCCATAATGTTTGTCTGCAAAACTGAAACACTTCAGGAACTAAAATAAAGAATTGCAATTGCAATAGGTACTAAAAAATTGGCTTGGTGTTTTGCTGGCTGTGTCAAGCAGAAATCATCTGGCAAGAGGAACACACAAATCCCCGGTCCCCTGCAGGTGTGCCAGAGGGTCTCTCACAATTCCAGCAGCTCAGGCCAAGACAGGAAAGAGCCCAGGACAAGATGGGAAGAAGATGCCCAGAAAGGCAGGCAGAGAAACTCAGCAATGACTCTGCTGTCTTAGCAGTGTCCCCTTGATGATCCCACTGACAATCCTGGCAACTTCACACAGCTGGTCTACAGGGAATGGGCAGAAGTCACTGAGTATGGAGCCAGGGCAGGATGGCATGAGTGGCATTTCCCGACCAGGATGAAGAATAGTTAATATCTCATCTAATGAGGGGGCTCCAGTGTTACCCTTCAGCACAGGAACTGAGCACTGAGCTGTTTCTGGACCTCTGCCTTCCTTGCACAAGAGGTTCCCTCACTGGCCTCACAGGCAGCATTTTCCAGGGCTCTATTCCATGTGCTGGAGGACACAGCTGGTGAAGTACAGCAGAACAGGAGAGATGTGCATGCAACTCTTCAGGTACAGCCTGTGTCACTTCTCATCAGCCATTTACTCCTTTTAAACTGGCACAGCTCAGTCTCAATTCTTAACTTTGCTGAAGAAATATTTTCCCCTGGGATGCTGTTCCACAAGCGAAAAAGGTGAGAGAAAAGAGCTGCTTTGTTGTGAGGAAATGCTCTGCCCTGTGTCGATGGAGAAATGCCACACATGAAGTTCTGAGAGAGAAATACAAGCACCAGAATTCTCTGACAATTCATAGTCCTGGAAACGAGGATGAAGAACTGGCTCTGAGATTCTCCTGCAGAGAGATTCCCAGTGAAGCATCTTTAAAGATGCAGCAAGAGCAATTCAATGAAATAAAAAAGCAGACTGCTGGAGATAGAGAATCCAGCAATTGCATGGAGTTTTTTTCATTGATTGTAGACATCACATTCAAGGAGTTTAGAAGCAGAAAGTTTTGAGAGCTGAAAAGTTGGAAAATAACAAGGCAATAGTTAACAGAGAACAAACCTGAAATAGAATCAGGCTGCTGGAAAAATGAAATTATTTGTGAAGACTTGAGTAGAGATGTCTGTACAATAGGAAGCAGGGAAGAAAAGGCTCAGAGCAGCTTTGTGGTGTATTTTGACTTCTTTCCCTCCTTTGAAGAACCTTGTAAAATTGTGTGCTGCTGAAGGAATGGTAATGGGAAGAGGGGAAGGATCTGAGAAGCCAGGGGAATTAATAACTGCACTTCAGGTCTGGCACTCACCTGACAAAGCTGGAAAATAGAACTCTACACATATAATTTCTTTGTATTAATTTGAAAATCTTGGCCGCTTCTTGGAAGTAGCCAGAAGTCAGTGATCTGCGTGTCCCTGGGAGGGAAGCACAGTGCCCCATACCTCTCCAACAGTGAATCCCAGCTGCCTAGCCCGGACAATCATCTCCATCTGGAAGACGTATCCTTTAGAAACACACTTCTCCATCAGCTTCTCTAAGACTTCTTTTCTGTACAACCTGTAAACAATTCCAAAGGAAATAAAGCCTGAAGCCCAACTGCTGGAATTTAGAAATCTAGACAGTGTGTAGGAATCTGAACTGCAATCACTCAGCTCATTACTATTTATAAAACTCCCTAACGAGGTCATGGGAGCAGCAGTTCTTGCAATCTAATCCACTTCCACCCTTTCCAAACAGATTTCACAGGTCCACAGTAAAGAACTGTGTTCTGTTCTTACTCCAGTTCCTTAATTTCCAAAAAACGTCAGGAATTGCAAACCAGACCCCTACCTGAAACTCCCTGTTAGATCTGATGCCCCTGGTCTCAGCAAGACCTGAGTCAGAAAATTGGCTCCACGACTGTGAAAGAAAACATCCATGTCAGAGTTGTTTAGTACAAAGAGATGGGCACTTACTCCAGCCTTAAAAACCAGGAGCAATCCAAATCCAGCTGCAGACCAGACTGTAACCAGCTTGTGCTCCAGTTTCTTTGCAGGATAAATGAACCAACATGAACACCTCCTGTTCTCTGGGGGGGCCAGGAGCACCCAGCAGGCTGAGGTGTCCCTCCCAGCTGCCAGCTCCCAGCTCAGCCTGTTCCCTGGCTGGTGGAACTGGGTGTCTGTCCCAGCCTGAGGCCCCGTTCCAACCCATTTTCCAAGCCCACCCGTGTCCCTCCAGTCCTTCTTGGTGGATTTGAACCACAGAACTGCCCAGTGCTGGGTGCTTCTGGTACTGAGTGTGACTCTGCAGTGCCCAGCAGGCACAGCAGTCCTGGGGACTAAGGAGTTCAGCTTACAGGGATGGAGTACTTGGAATTATTATTTACAAGGAACAGATTTCTGTGTGAAGAGATGAAAAGTACTAACCTGATTAACTTTCTTTTCAAATCCCAGCCATACACTCCTCCGTTTCCTTTATATCTTGTTCCAGATACAATATCAAAATTGCCTTCTTGCTGCTTTCTATAAACAATTGGGTTTATCAGAAAAACTGGAGGAATGTTTCAAAGTTCAAATTTCAAAGTAAGAACAATCACTCTTTTTCAGTACAAAATCTGTATTTTACAAACTTCTGAACAAGTAAGAAGAGAGGAAAGCAGTAGTTAGGGTGGCTGTGAGCATTATTCAAACACATGTTGATTGTTCTCTTATAAAGAGCTACTTCAGGGAATCTAATCATTTTATTTTACTCACTATGGCATAGAATTTCATAGGCTGCCTCATAAATAATTTATAAAGATCAACTTTCATACTATAATCAGCACCTACCTGATAAACTCTGGAATAAATTTTGGCTGAAATGAAAGAAAGACAGATCAGAAAAAAGGGCAGGGGTAAAATAACAGCAACCACTGAAAACTGAATTACAGGAGAGTGTACCCACAGTAGAAGAAATGCAGCCTTACATGGTGGGAGAGGTCAGCATCCATAATAACGATGAAATTCCCAGTGGCATACTTCATTCCATGAATATACGCAGTGCCTGATGGACACAGAAATAATTGCCTCACTCTTTTAACACAGAAACGCACAGAGAAAGTTCACCTGAGGATGGGCCACGACTTGCAATGTCATTTCTAAAGCACCAGCTGCCCTCAGGAGCCTCAGAAACAGACTGGGCTCCAGATCCTCCCCAATCCCTCACACCCCCATCCTGGGCCCAGCGGGTGCAGGGCAGGACTGAGGATCTGGCCTGAGCTTCTGGGAAACCTTCTAGAAACACACCGGGATTTTTAGGTGCATTTTTAAAGCTTGTTTGGTTGCAAACAACTGGATGAAAATGTGTTTCTGCTTTTGGGCTTTACTGTGATTTTTTTCTGGACCTTAATACATTGGATCAATCAAAGGATAAAAAAGATTCTTTTATTTACTTTTATTAATCAGAGTTAATAAGGACTTACCCAGGCCCAACTTCCTTGCTCTGGGTCTCAGAAGCTACAGGAGATATAAAAAACAGATCAATTATTTGATATTACAGTTTTAAAAAAGACTCTGATATTTCCTATATATTTCTGTCTTAAAACAATCTTTATAAATGCAACTTAGTCCAGAAATATTTTTAAAAACTTGACATTTATGCAGTAACAGACTGAAAAAGTATCTGATTGCCACTAAGTAAATTACGGCATCTTGTATATAACTGAGGGTTATGCAGTAATAGGTTAAAAATACCCCAAAAACTCCTGTTCTTGAGGAATGCAATGAAACAGATTAAAAATAAATCATAAGCCCAGCCCAGGTTTCATCCTTCCGATTTCCTTACTCCTGCAGTCAATCAAAATGAAATTAAATCTTATCCAAAGCCCATCTTTCCCTCAGGCCTGCACCAAGTACAGCACCGCTCACAGTCATTGCTCAGGAGCAATGCACCAAGGATTGACAGCGTTCTGCAAGCAATTCCTGGACTCCTGTATTTGCTTACACTCGTCTAAAGTGGTGTACAACACCTTGTGTAAGGGTGTGAAGAAAGGGCAGAACCCAAGGACTCCATCCTTACAGTACTTTCCAATACAAAAAAGATAGGAAACAAAATTGCCGAATGCACAACTCACTATTTTATCTGATCCATATATTTTTTCCAGTTGCTGAGCAACTTCCTGTGTTCCATCCGGGCTTCCATCATCTATGATGATAATTTCAAAGTCGATCCCACTGAAAGGAGAACGATTTCGCAGTGAGCAGGAGGGGCTGCCCGGGGAGGCCGGGAGCGCCCATCCCTGGAGGGGATGGAGATGGGGGCTGGGGACGGGCTGGGGAATGGATGTTCCGGGCGGGATTTCCAGCCCAGTGCTCGGCGAAGGGGACACCTGTGTGCGCACTGTGCCATCCCGCCCGGGGTCACTTTATGGCAGTAAATTGGGTACGGGTACCTCCCATCCCTACAGCACCGCCGTCCCCCGCACCCCGCCCGCACCCGCACCGGGAGCCCGCGGTACCTGTGGCGGAAGGTGCGCACCAGCAGCCACACGACCAGGGGCAGGTTGTCGCGCTCGTTGTAGGTGGGCAGCAGCACGGAGACGCGGCCGGGGCCCCGCGCCGCCATGGCGGCAGTGACGCGGCGGAAGCGGCGGGGCCCGCGCGGCCATGGCGGGGGCGGCGGCGGCGGCGCGGCTGCGGGCCGAGATCCGCCGGCGGGAGCGCGAGCTGCGCGGGCTGCGCGAGCGGCTGGCGGCCGAGCTGGCCCGGGGCGGCACGGCCGAGCAGGAGGAGGACGGACAGCGGGGCGAGGCAGCCCGCGGGGCGCGGCAGCCCTCGGAGGCCGGGCCGGCGCGGGGGGATGCCGAGGATGAGGATGGAGCCCGGGGAGGACCTCGCGGGCCGGCGCGGGGGGATGAGGATGAGGATGGAGCCCGCGGGGTGCGGAAGCCCTCGGAGGCCGGGCCGGCGCAGGGGGATGCCGAGGATGAGGATGGAGCCCGCGGGATGAGGGAGCACTCGGCGGCCGGGCCGGCGCGGGGGGATGCCGAGGATGAGGATGGAGCCCGCGCGGTGCGGCAGCCCTCGGCGGCCGAGCTGGCGCGGGGGGACTCGGGGGATGCCGACGAGGAGGACGATGACGAGGAGGAGGAGGAGGGAGCGCTCGACTTCCCCGCGGAGCTGCCGCCGCTGCCCGCGCGGTCGGCGCTGAGCGCGGCGGAGATCCTGCGCTACAGCCGGCAGCTGGTGCTGCCCGAGCTGGGCGTGCGCGGGCAGCTGCGCCTGGCGCGGAGCTCCGTGCTGGTGGTGGGCTGCGGCGGGCTGGGCTGCCCGCTGGCGCAGTACCTGGCGGCGGCCGGCGTGGGCCGCCTGGGGCTGGTGGATCACGACGTGGTGGAGACGAGCAACCTGCAGCGGCAGGTGCTGCACGGCGAGGCGCGGCGCGGCCGGCCCAAGGCGCGCTCGGCGGCCGCGGCGCTGCGGCGGCTGAACTCGGCCGTGCAGTACGTGCCCTACCGCGGGGCGCTGCGGCCGCGCTCCGCGCTGCGCCTCGTGCGCCAGTACGACGTGGTGGCCGACTGCTCCGACAACGCGGCCACCCGCTACCTGGTGAGCGATGCCTGCGTGCTGGCCGGCAAGCCGCTGGTGTCCGGCAGCGCGCTGCGCCTCGAGGGGCAGCTGGCCGTGTACAACTACCGCGGCGGGCCCTGCTACCGCTGCCTCTTCCCCCGGCCGCCGCCGCCCGACGCCGTCACCAACTGCGCGGACGGCGGCGTGCTCGGGCCGGTCACCGGCGTCATCGGCTGCATGCAGGCGCTGGAGGTGCTGAAGATCGCCTCGGGCATGGGCTCCTCGTTCGGCCGCTGCATGCTGATGTTCGATGGGCTGGAGGGCAGGTTCCGCCACATCCAGCTGCGGCCGCGGAAAGCGGACTGCGCGGCGTGCGGGGACAGCCCCAGCATCACCTGCCTGCAGGATTACGAGGCGTTCTGCGGCTCCTCCGCCACGGACAAGTGCCGGGCGCTGCAGCTGCTGCCCGCCGGGGACAGGATCTCCGTGCAGCGCTACCGGGAGCTGCTGGAGGCGCGGGTGCCGCACCTGCTGCTGGACGTGCGGCCGCCGGTGGAGGCGGAGATCTGCCGCCTGCCGCACGCCCTCCACATCCCGCTGAGGAAGCTGGAGGAGAAAGACCAAGAATCTCTGCAGCTTTTACGAAGCAGAATTTGCGAAGAAAAGCAGAGAACTGATGGCCAAACCGCTCTCCCCGTGTATGTTGTTTGCAAGTTAGGAAATGATTCCCAGAAGGCTGTAAAAATTCTGCAGGAGCTGCCTGCCGAAGAATTTGGTTCTGTGTCAGCTAAGGATATTAAAGGGGGGCTCATGGCTTGGGCCACTAAAATCGACTCAACGTTTCCTCAGTACTAGAATTTTAAATGGTGAAAAAAACCACACAATTTTAGAGTAAGTTCTGCAGGGTTCCATCTCCTCTGTGTAATGGCTATATCATGTGGAAAAACCAAACAGAAATATCATAGTGATTTTTTATGTAACCCTTTTTTCCTAAGAAAAATGCTTATTTTTGTAGCTGTCTGATTATTTTTATGAATATGTAAATCTGCCCATGAAAGTGGAAAGAAATGTGTTTCTTGGTTATGATTTAATAGTAAAAACTTGGCGTAACTACTGACTTGTGCACGTGATGATTGAGAATATCCTAATTAGCAATTGTAACCTGGAAAACAATGAAACACGGGAATCACATTATTACTCAGTCTCTGAACCGCTTAACAAATTGAAACAGTGCATGAAATGAATAAAAAATAATTCCTGTTAATCTCTAGCTGGTCTGTAGCACTATTAATCTGTCACAGGGGATTGCCAGGACAGCATTAATGAGACCATGGTGGTCAACACCTTTCGGTTCTCTGCAGAAGCCGTGTGTATTTATGGACTAGAAGAGCACCAGGGTGTTCAGAACTTCCAGAGCCATCCATCCTCATTTATTGGGTGGCAAAGCAGTGGATTCCTCAGCTTGAATAGAGGAACTGAGGTTAACTGTTAATAAGACATAAGTTTGACCCTGTAAAGTTGGTAAAACAGACAGAAAATGCTTTTATCAGTGCTTGGAAGATTTCAGAGATTGGGAGATAATGAGGAGGTGAGAGGGAAAAAAAAATAGGTGTTTATCCTCCCTCCTGCAAGGACAAAGACCTGTCTCCTGAGTTTTCTCCCTGATGCTGTGGCAGTGGCACCTCCCCAGCTGGATTTCCTTGCTGGCATGAAGAGCTCTGCACATCTGGGGAGTGTCTGTACTTCACTGAATGAAAAGAAAGAGAAATAAATAGCTTCTCAACAGAGCTGCTTGAGGCCTCATCACCTCAGCATAGTAATTATCTCCTTATATTAATTAAGGTATGGATTTCTTTACTTCCTGAGGAGGAAAAAAACATCTGTCATGACTAATCTTCACATTGTACCAGGGAAAAAGAAGGAAGAGTGCCATTATAATTAGTAGTTGGAAAGGTGTATTTTGGTAAAATAAATTGGAGAACAGCCACACTCCCAGCTGCATTATAACGTACCATGGTTCTAGCAAGGGCAGTCTCATGAAGGAACAGCAGTGAATTTGTAACCAGAGAGTCAGATTCTGCACTTTAGAGAACAATGAAAACATGAAAGGCCAGGACTTAAAGTGCCTGGATTCTGGGGTTTCCCTTTTGGGAATTAGAAACCAGGGGGACTTGTTTGATGCCTGACCTGGGTTGAAATTTTTCTGTCTTCACTGTGATTTCTCCATTGTGATGCCATGAAGAAACTGAAATGTAAAGGCAGCAGCAGCAGTAATTCTGTAATACCCCCAGTGGGTGCTGTGTCACACACCCCTCTGCCCTCACAGGGGATTCCTTTCTGTCGTTCCAAGCAAGGTGAACTCAAGGATGTGGGGAGAAGGGAAAAACTCTTTGATTCTAAATCTGAGTGTGTAGAAATTGTGTGTGAAGTCTTTTCCCTTGCTCCAAGATTGTTTTGCCTCCGTGTTCTCCTGTCAGTGCAGTTCTTGGCAGTGCTGCACTCTTTGAAGATAGGCTGAACAATCAAGGATCATAAAATCGTAACTAAGACCAAACCATTCTTATTATTGCTAGCTTATCTTTTGTTTTGACTTGCTTTAATTCTTGAATTCCAAACATGTAGTGGTTTCTGTGTTCACTGGGAGAAATTCTACTTTAAAATTCCAAGAGAAGCACTAAAACTTTAAGATTTGTTTTGCTGCCAAAGCAAGCACTGTGGAAAGGCTGGGGTGTGTTGACGTTGTGAATGAAGAGAAGCTGCTTTGGCCAGGGAGTCTGAGCACGGCTGGGCTCTGTTATCAGCAGGGATGAGGTCAGGACACGATCTTGGCCTTTGCCCTCGATGTCACGGGGTTGCATTTTCTAATAAAAACTTCACTGTTCAAAACAAAACATTGCATTAGGTCCTTAAAATACTCCAAGCATAAGTTTATCCTCTTTTTTTATGCAAAAGCTTTGAGCTGTCCTTTGTGAAACTACAGAAAGAATAATGTGAGAGTTGTGTGCTAGGTGGCACTGCAAGTTAATAAACCACAGCACTCCTGAGCTTGAGAGATGCAATTCAAGCAAGAGCTGAGGTGTGCATCAAATCCATCATTGTGCAGGTCTTTTGAAAAAAAGACCAGGAAATAAAATGGAGATGAATATTAATGTGGATCAGGGTAGCAGAATTTGGAGCAATGTAAACAACAGGAAAAAGCACACACAAATTGGTTTGTGGCATTAACCTTTTGTGTTTGTGTTGCTTGGTTAAATACAGCAGCCCTGCTGCTTTACCTCACTCTGCATCTTCAACACCTTGGTGAGGAAATATGTACAGGGCAGGAAAAGCAGAATAAGGCAAAAGACAGAGAAGAAATGCAGAGTTTATGAAGTTTTATCCTGCACATGTCTGGTGACATCCCTTTCCCCCCATTCTCTGCTCTGTGTATGTTATGTTGAAACCTTACTCCAGTGAGCAGGTTCCAAGGAACCAATTTAATAAGGATGTTCTAAAAGTTGTAACTGCTCAAATTCATGGACTGTGGGACTTGGAAAGGCAGTGGGGAATTGCACCTTCTCTGATGGGAACACTGACAAAGCTGCACCCTCTGTGCTCCCCTGACAGCAGCAAAGAAACTGGGACACTCTGCTCTCAGCACAGGAAAAGAAAATCACCTCTCTTTGCCCATTCTCCAGGCTTTTAGCATTGACTCTGCTCCCTTGATACCCTTTACAATATATTTCATGTGATTGATTCAGAGCCAGCTGAAATGTACCTGTGTGATGGTGCTGCTTTGCCCTCTTGTTCTTCTCATTGCGACATACCTGCAATTCTGATATTTCATACTCCTGCTGAGAACAAAATCAGCTGCCCTCCAAACTGATGGCTGTCATGTGAACCTTACCAGAAAAGCAAGCTGATACAAATTCACTCTAGTCCTGCTGTGGTATAAGTTTTCCAGCCCAAGAAGAAAGTATTCTGAGTCCCTCAGGCAAAGGGGCATTTACCTGCTCAGGAGCAGTGGAAGGAGTCATGGAATCACAGGATGGTTTGGGCGGGAAAGGACCTTAAAACTCATCTCATCCCAACCCTCCTTCCACCATCCCAGGCTGCTCCAAGCCCTGTCCAGCCCAGCCTTGGGCACTGCCAGGGATCCAGGAGCAGCCACGGCTTCTCTGGGCACCTGTGCCAGGGCCTGCCCATCCTCACATCAATAAAAATCTTCCTTATCTTTAGTCTGAATCTACCCTTTTTAGTTTAAATCAATTCCCTTCGTCCTATTGCTCCTGCTGAAAAGTTCTCTTTTTGTGAAGCACAATTCTAACTTCACTTTGTAAGGGTTTGAAATTATCAAAAATCATCAAAGTGTTTAGACTTCCCTTTTATATATGTATTTATATGCACACATATGTATGTGCACACACAGAGATGTATTCCAGATGGGGTACAGGCATGTTTTAGGCAGAATTTACTGAGGCCATTTCCAGGACTTGCATGTTGTCATTTCAAACAGCTTCTGAAACTGCTCTCAGTTTCACTTCACTACTGGAGTAGTGGGAGGTAGGAGGTGTGACAGTGATTGGAACTCATTAAAACTCTCTATAGCTGCCTTCTCAACCTCATTAGATTACTAATTTTTTAAAATCACTTGAAGTAGATTCTGTAGTTTCTTTTATAAATAAAACCATAACTTTATTTACCAGGCTGCTGTTGTACAGGTGATAGAGGTGTTGACATTGCCCATGTGACCATGAAAATCTTAATTTTAGTCAGATAAAGTTGCATTAGCCTTTTGAAAAGTATCACATGTCAATACTGCAACCAAATAAATGCCGCATAAATATTTCCAGGAGTTTCACCCTTCCCAGAAGTGATGATGATGATGATGATCTCTTCATCCTTGTTTCCTTGCAGATCCACCAGCCCGCTCTGGAAACGAGAGGCTGCGGCTACAGTGTAATGGATTGAATATTTTCCTCTGGATTTTAAAAAAGAACTTCCCGAAGTATTTTATCCACCCTTTTGGAGCCGGCTGGTGCAGGTGGGTGCTTCGGGACAGGAATTTGCCGGGAGCGGCCCGTAGATGGCAATGCAGGATGCTGGGATCGGGCAATGCAGGATGCGGGATCGGGCATGTTCCTGCTGGTGAAAGAAAACCCATTCTGTTCCGTTCTGTTCCGTTCTGTTCCGTTCTGTTCGTTCCGTTCCCCAGGCACCGGCTCACGCCCCGGATTTCTGGTGGTCCTCAGCGATTCCTGACTCTTCCAGCAGCACGGAGCCACCTCTGGGCCCAGGTGGGCATCTGGGGCATAGTCCCTCTCCTGGTGATAATTTCCCACAATACAGAAAATAACTAGAGCTGCATTTACAGGGAACGCTTGTCCTTTGGCTTTGCCTGTCAGGAATGTGCAAAAATGTCATTGTACCTCATCCCAGCATCCCAGCATCCCAGCATCCCTGAATCCTGAATCCCAGCATCCATGAATCCCTGAATCCTGAATCCCAGCATCCCAGCATCCCTGAATCCCAGCATCCCTGAATCCTGAATCCCAGGATCCCAGCATCCCAGCATCCCAGCATCCCTGAATCCCAGCATCCCTGAATCCCAGAGTCCCTGAGGTTGGACAAGACCTCCAAGGAACATCCCAGCTTGTTCCCAGCCCAGAGCTCTGAGTGCCACCTCCAGCCCTTCCTGGGACATCTCCAGGGATGGGGAAATCCCTCAGGAATCCTCCCGGTGCTGGGCAGGTGCTTGCAGCACTGCAGCTGTGTGCTGGAGAGGCAGCAGGGACAGAAGTCACCTGTGGCTTTCCCCAGGTCCCTCTCAAAGGAAAGTTTCCTCAAACCAATTTCAGGGCCTCTGGAAGCCTCCCCTCACTCTGCCATGAGATGCTTTGCTCACAGATGCTGTCCCCAGAAATATTCCTCTCCAAAATTAAAGTCACCTGCAACTGCGCTGTTGCCTTTGGTTTGCATGAGGATAATATTTATCGATTTCCCAAAATGTGCTTTTCTTTATGAGTGAAAGAAACTGAGTCATCTTTTCCTTGGCTGACCTGGGAGCTGCCAGCACTGTGAAAGTTATGGATGATTTCTCTCAGCTGCTTTGTGACATGAGGTGCATCAATAATGAGAATGAGAGCAGCACTTCAATTTATCATTCAGCAGTTCTGTGTCAAAACTTCCTTTCTCTATAGAATTAACTATAGAAATTTGTGCTGGTGCCTACTTTCTTCCTGAGGTAGGCACCATTAAAATGACATTGTTATCTTTAACAAAAAGATAAAC